TTGACTATTCTCAGCATTAACCATTCTCAGTTGACTATTCTCAGCATTAACCATTCTCAGTCAGCACAACAATTGCCACGACAGATAAATGGCACATGAGTTGCAGGCTAACAGGAAGGAAGAAGGGGGATCACAGAAGACCAGCCAGCATCCATAACTCACCTGTGCTGAAAAGAATGAACCCATGAGCCCCGGCATTTCGGAAACTGTTTTCGACATACCCAGCCCATGTGGCTGAAAGGTACACCCATGAACCGTGGCCAAAGAGACATGCGTTCGAATCCTTGATGGAAGCAAATGAGTGACAGAAGTCAGAGAATACCTGTGCCATTCAGTCGGCTGATGATACCTCAAGGTCGTCACCCTTTAAGGGGAGGGGGAGGAGGGGGGGGGGGGGGGGAACAAGGGATCCATTTCGCCATATTGCCCTCGTCAGCTCCACTTCCCATCCCCATGTGAGTGTGTTTACGTCACATCCACGGACACGACAACAGGCGCAAACTCATCGTCTTCCATCAGCCCCTCCAGGGAGTCTTGGTCGAAATACCATCCCAGCGTTGTCCCCAGAAAACGACGGAGTTTTTTGGCTTCATCCAACAGGGTTCCATCAACGACTTGCGCTTCTTCAATTGCTCCGAAAAAGTACTTCAACGACAGCCGGAGAAAGTTATCGTCCGACAACCAGAACTCGTCCATTCTCACATGATGGTGAGAAGATTCGTTCTGTGGTCCCTTAGGGGGAGAAGCATGCAGGCCTTGACGAAGTTGGGTGTGCAGAACTCGGACGAACTTGGTGAAGAGGCGAGTGCGCGTGTGAATAGGAGCGTCCACGCATCCGGTCATCAAATGGATGATCCCCTTCCACTGGCGAAATGCATCCAACGATTGACCCATCAAAAAGGCCACAAACGCAAACTGGAATTCGCCAATCAGGAGGTCCTCATCATTTGCGTAAGCATCAACAAGAACCTTATGTAGAATCCGGCTTTTGTCCATATTCATTGCAGTAACATCCGCAGCACTTATACCGCCTTCTCCCTTCACGAATCGCGGGAAGGCTGTGTACGTGGCTCGTGGTCCTTTCACATCCGTGCCTCGATGGGTTTTGGCTGCTGTTGTTTGGGACGTGGACGACTCCGCGAGAGATCCAGGTCCAGGTCCACTTCCTCCTCCTCCTCCTCCTCCTCCTACTTCTACTCCTCCTCTAAGTCCCTCTTTGCTCTCATGAATATGCTGCACTCCCACTCCTGCTACCCTCTGGGTGGCAGGTGGATGACCAGCAGCAGCAGCTGATGACCGCTCATGGCGACTGGCACTTGGAAGATGAACTACTCGGTTACGCTGGTGCAGCAACTGCTGTTCCAGGTACCTTTCAGCAGTTGTCGAAGGAGAACGCAAACCAGCCGCCAAATCTGCCTCGAAAGCGAGGCATATCTCCCCTCTTGGTGGTTGATGACGCTCGATCACAGCCGTTGAGATACATCCAGCGATTTCTTTCCAGTCCCGCCAGCGGCTCAGATAGTAAGGCGCTAGGCGGGAATCAAACTCGAAGCGCCGCACTCCCTCGATGTACCTCCTTTCTTCTTCTTCATCGCCGTCGTCTTTTTCTCCCTCACAGCTATCTGCAATCCTTACCAGTCGCTCTTCAGCAGGTTCCCATCGCCGAACTGCAACCTCTGATGCGGAGAGACGAAGAAAGACACCGACGACTGGTGAGGAGTCGACACCATGCCTGCTTGCAGCACAGTAGTAAAGAAAGTGGGTGCCTGGAGGGATCATCTTAAACCCAGCAAAGTTGGGCCCAGTGACAAACATCTCAGAGTCCAGACCGACCGATGTCCCGCATGGTACGTTCAGCAGCAACAATGTCGCACCCTGAATTGCGAGCTCTCGAGCAGAGTCTGGGTCAAGCGACAGGCTGTATGGCATCTGGCGAGCAGCAAAAGCCGGGGAATCGTAGCCCCAGGAAGGAATCCGTTCGTCTTCATCCATAGCTGGCAAACAACTAGAGCTGAGTGAAGTGAACAACTGCGTATACAGAGGGAAAGAAACAACAAGTAACTACTACTAGTTGTTCACTTCATTGTAACTGCATCTGGACCGAAAGTTGTGCCAAATGCGGCTATAATGACCGGGCGTTGTATTCGGGTGAAGACGGTAGTAGTAGAAGCAGCTTCTTGAAGGTATTCTTCACTACTAGTAGTACTTGGCACCCGAATACAACGCCCAGTCATTATAGATGTATTTGGCACAAGTTTCGGCAAGTTTCGGTCCAGATGCAGCTATAATGACCGGGCGTTCTATTTGGGTGAAGATGGTAGTCTCTTTTTGGAAGTCTTCTTCAATATTAGTAGAGGGCAGGGCACTTAGCGAAAGTGACCTACTGTGGACATAAAGGGAAAGGAACAACCATGAACTAGTATCGATAGTAATAGCAGTATAAGTAGTTGCATAGAGGAATACCTTCAAGATGCTACTTCTGCTACTACCGTCTTCACCCGAATAGAACGCCCGGTTGTTATACCTGTATTTGGAGCAACTTCCCGTCCCGATACTTCGATAATGACCGGGCGTTGTATTCGGGTGAAGACGGTAGTTTCTTCTTCTTGAAAGTGTTCTTCAACAGTACTGGGGAGAAGGGAACTTTGCAAAACTCTTGTGTTCACACAAATTGTCATAGCTTCCATCTACTTGTTAAAACTGTTTCCATAGCTTCCATCTACTTCTTTTCATATTCTCTCTAAGGAATCTTTTTGCTCTAACTTTTATTTATCGAATCGACAGGGGAACACCAAAACCGCAGTCCTATCGACACAGGAACACCAAAACCTGCAGAACTATTGACGAAGACCTACAAAGAACCAATGACAAGTGAATGGACTTTGCATATATTGTCACATATGTTTTGTTATTATCCACTAATAAAAGAGGGCACGGCAATTTTTGCGATACAAGTGAAATGAAGAAAACAGCAGACCGAACGAGGCACAGTTTTATTTATCGAATCGACAGGGGAACACCAAAACCGCAGTCCTATCGACACAGGAACACCAAAACCGCAGAACTATTGACGAAGACCTACAAGGCACCAATGACAAGTGAATCGACTTTGCATTGTCTGTAGTGGATATATTGTCACATATGTTTTGTTATTATCCACTAATAAGAGAGGGCGCGGCATTTTTCGCGAAACAAGTGAAATGAAGAAAACAGCAGACCAACCAAGGCACAGTAAAACCGCACTACTTCGCAGCAGAGAGATATGTTGACGCCGTCCACCAGTCTGGTCGGTGTTTCCTGTGCAATGCCAGCACGAACGACATCCATCCATCCATCCATGTCAGAAATTTTGATGAAGGCAACGGTCGATCTGTCAGGGACCTCCGTACCTCAGTGATACACCAAAGCGAAAGGACATCTTCTTGCACAGATGGTGAGAGGCAGAGAGAAATGCCTCACTGTTAGAACAGAAAACATGAAGGGCGAAGAAGGGTAACAATAGCCCACCTTAGGCAATAGCCCGTGTAATTTCGAAAGGACAAAAGTGGCACAGTCAGAGTGCACCTGAGCATCTCTGCACCCTTCCCAGGCAGGTGCTAATGGATAATTGTTTCCCCCTCCCCCCCCCCCCCCCCCCCAAACACCCCAC